TTGGGAACTTTATTGTTTATTTAAGAATTTACAGGAACAATTTTTAATTAAAAAATGTTGATATTGAAATGTACATTTCATTAAAAAAATATCATCCATTTAAAAATATGTTGATGAAAGGAGAGAGTTCACGTTAAATTAAGTTAATCAAAACTAATATTCTGTAAAAAATCAAATTAATTTATTTTCTTTTATTTATAACTTATTTGGACAAAATTTAAAATATAAATTTAGTTTAGGATAAGCTAAAATTAGGGATCGTATAAATAAATAAAAATAAAATGCTAAATTCTTTTATTTTAAAATTTAATTAAAAATTAAAATTCAGAATATTAGATTAATAAAATAAAAAATATAAGTTATATAAAAGTAAAATTTGAATATGCATTTTTTTTTCTCTAAGGTCTTAGGGTCGTTTGTTTCTCTCACTTACATATGTAGAAATAGTCCGTGGGAACAAGCGATGTATGAAATTGACTCGAATACAGGGATTTCTTTTTCCAATGGTTACACAGGAACTACCATGGATATTTTTGTTAAAAAAGTGAAAATCCCACGTGACACATTCTTTATTAAAAATTTTGAAAAAAAAAAGAAAAAACTATAGTTTTAAATTTCACTATGTTTTTTTAATTTTTTTCTTCTTTTTCTTCCTTTTCTTCCATCAACTTCACTAAAAAATAATTTTTTATATCTATTTGTGGGCAACTAATTTATGACAAATTTTGTAACGAGATATTAATTTTGTGAGGAATGAATAAGTAAATATTTGTGAAAACTGTGAGGAAAACATGTTATTTTTAAAGTTTTTATCATGAGATATATAAAATATAATTATTAATAACATTTATAATGACACTTAGGGTTATGAAAATAATTTGTTATATAAGCGTATCAAATTTTACTTCAAACAACTTAAAGTATAGTGATATGTAGAGCTGTCAAAACGGGTAATCGGGTTCACTCCGACCCGACCCACTACGGGTTGACCACTTAGTGAGTCAACCCAAGCCGACTCATTTATTAGCGAGTTGAAAAAATTTGAACCCGACCCGACCCACTACGGGTTGGTGGGTTAAACGGATTGGCTCATTGGTTTACTTAATTAACTTTTTTTCACCCTCTTCTTCTCAGATTCTTAACATGTTACTTCGATCGATCAAATTGAAACAGTAATAATTGGACCAATTGATATAAACGAAAATGAAACAAAAGAAATATATTGTTATATATATTATAAGCTATCAAACATAAAATTTTGCTTTTTTAGTTTAATGAGACATACACAACCATTTAACCAAGAAACTACATATAGTCATTAATAAAAATATATAGCACAAGATAAAATTGTCATGCTTGTAGATAGGTCTAAAAACAAGATCAAACAAATGATATATTTCTGAATTATCCAATCTATAATATTATCCATCTATTAAATTGGAGTCCTGAATGGATAAATTCACAGTATTATGCTCTCTTGAAGCATATTCTTCTTTATCTTCCTCTATAATATTATCCAATCTATAATCTTAGGATTTTATTTGCATTTTTGGAAAGACAACCGCATGAAAGACTCTACTGCTAAGTAAAGGTTGTGCATTTTGAATAATTAATTTGATTTCAATAAAAAAATAGGATTTGAATAATTAATTTAATTAATTTATTTTAATTAAAAAAAATAGGTGGGTTGGCTCACCAACCCAACCCACCATGGGTTCAACCCGTGTGAGCCGGTTTCTTAGTGAGCCGGGTCAAAATTGGCTCGCATAAAAAATTTTACATTTTTTTCCAACCCAACCCGACTCAAACCCGTGGTGAGTCAGATTGACTCACGGGTTTCAACCCATTTTGACGGCACTATATGCATCATTTAAACTCGAATATACTATGTTTTAATTTGTTATCATCTCTTGTCACTCTTTCTTAGTATATGTTAGCATAAAATTCTTGCAGTATGCTTTCATTCAACGGTTGTTAGGATTGTACAATTTAGTCCTCCTTCTTTCTTTTAATTTGAAGGTAAAAGATTTAAATTCATTTATCTCAATTGGACCTTTTTACCATGATAATTTTTTTTTCGTTTTAATACCACTATAACACCATGGTATTTGTTTTTTCCATATTTAAAAAAGGATTGTCAAAACTACATTTAATTTAATATCGAATTAACAAAATTTAACTCACTGCATTTATCTCTTAAGGCAAAAGGCAATACTTAAGCTATAAACTGTTCAAGTGAGTTGAATTTTGTTTAAAGTGCTAGTTGCTTAAGCTAAACAAAAGTCATATTTAAGCAAGAATCATGATGTGAATAAACTTACTCGTATTATTTTTGCTTCAAGTAAGAAAGTGTTCACACTTAAATAATAAAGTCTTGTCGTGACAATAATTATACTGGATGAAAAGAAAATATATGTAGTCATTGTTACAAAAATAACAACATTAAACAAAAAAATAACGAAAAAAAATTCTCAAACGCAAAGTCGGTTACAAATTCTCTGTAGTATAAATATTTATTTTTTATGATCAAATACAAAGAAACAATGTTTAAATCAGAAAGGACTCATGATACTATATAAAAACATATAATAATTTAAATGTGTTTTCCTATTCATTGAAAATATATATAAATAGTCAAATTGTATGATTTAATTCTTTAATTTATACTTAACATAATTATTAGGAACTAATAGCCTAAGGAAATCAATTAACTATAGGAAAATGATTTTGAACCTAATCACACGGAATTAATTGGATTAATTACAGGAAAATAATTCGTATTCTATCATTATGCAAATCTCTTTGTTTTTTAATCTTTTATTAACCTTCTTGATCTTGAATAACTGATAGTAATTAGTATACGGCTTTTATTCAGTTTTTTTTATATAAAAATGGTCATATATAAAATCATTTTATCCTGTTATGACGACTTAAAGATTATCTTTGAATTGAAGATTAGAAATTGTCAAAAAGAAGTTTTTTAACAAATTATTTTGTGAATCTTTTAAAAGATCTAATTCAGATCCCATTATTTTTCAACAATTAAACTTTGATAATCTTATGAAGAAAATACATGCATTCATTACTACAATGGTTATATGCTCTCTTAGATTAGATGAAATAAGCGTCCAAGATCTGAGGTGGTCTTTCCTCCAAGACATGTATCCAAAGCCCGTTCATTACTGTAGTTAATTGTCTTCAACTCTTCAACGAAACCCTTTAACGCCCAAAACGTTATCTCTTCCAACACCACACTTTAAGTTTCTGAATTCGTATTTTTGTTATTTTTTTCCCCAGAAACCACAGGTAAAAGTCATTATTCTAGGATGATTCTTGCTTAAAAGTTTCACTGCTTTTATGNGTACACTATATATATACAACTCCTTGTAGACACCACAAAATAAAGTTTTATTTCACTTATAGAAGTATAAACTGAAAGAGAAGTAGATTAGAAAATAAGTAATTAATATTTATATATTTTATCATCATGAAACATAAACCTATATATCACAAAACGAACCGACATCTATACAGTAACTATAATTTTATGAAACATACAATATTTATAAAATAACTTATTTTAATAACTACATTTTAATATTTAAAAATTAGGGTTATATACTTTAATATCATTAATCTTATTTAATTGAAAAAGATTCTTGACCGCAGAAAGGCGCATAAACCTTACGCCCGCCCGAAGTGCTTTTTATTTTCTTATTTAATTATAGTGAAAGTGGTGTCATACTTATTAATTCAATAGCGCGTTTAATACATTACAAATATTTAATCTGTTTTAAAATGTAGCCGGTTTCATTTCATTCTTTGCTCAGAAAAAAACAAGAAAATAGGTTGAGTTTTTCCTTCCGTATTTTAGTATATAAACATATATTATGAAAGTGAATTAGAACGTTAAAATCTATTTTAATTCATATTTTTTCCTATCATACTATTATTGTTAGGTTATTGTCAAATTTTATTATGGATAAAAATAAAATAAAAGTATAAAATATATAATGTTTTGAATGAGTAAATGAAATATTTAAGGTGGTGGTGGGTCCTGTGATGTACTGTGCTGATTTGTATCCTGGTACTCTTTTGTAATAAAGCTGTTTGTTGTTTGGCCAAAAAAATATTAAGGTTAAGAGTGGAGGTTCTTCTTTTCCATCTCAGGATTAGGTACCCCGCCAAACTCAACAACTACTTAGAATATAATAACACGTGTCTAGTTTAAAATACAATTTTAATTTTTTTAATTATCAATAATGCCCATATTTATAGTAATTTATCATTACCAATTATTGTGAATTAAGATACACTTTCAAGTCCCCTTCAATTTTTTATTTGTGAGATCTTCTTGGTGATATTCTACACAGAATTATTTTTATAATAAAATTAACACTGATGTATGAAAGCTATTATCAATAATACAACAAAAATATGTCTATACTGTTTGCTAGTGATTGATGTTTGTACATAGAAGGATGTGTCATTTGATGATAAGGATTTCAATCACAGAACCTGGAATAAGACATTACAATCATATCTAATGGGATTCATATACTTCAAATTCTTTCATAAATATATAGAATTTGTTGAGAAAGTCAACTTAACGAGGTATATGTTGATTTATTTAATTTTGTAAATCATGATATTTAACTATATTCTATTTTTAATATAAAAATATTTTAGTTATTTTATAAATTATTAAATTAAGACATACTTTATATGATCACAGGAATTAAACTATTTATAAACTTTTACTCGTCTTCTTCTTTTTTTCTAATTTAAAAAATTCAGTTTTTTCTTTTCTGATTTCTTTTCATCTTCAATTCCTAATTTTTTTCAACTTCTAAATTTTTTGTAAACTTTTGAAAAAGAAAATTCTAGTTAAATTATTAAACAATGAATTTTATTATATTATTTACAGTTCATTTTATTATGTATATATATTTGTAAATTATTTGGGAACTTTATTGTTTATTTAAGAATTTANACCCTTTTCCATCACTTCATTCAAAGGTAATATGTTCCTTCACTACTTCTTACTGCTAATTTACCCCCCTTGTTATTTTTCCTGTCATTAATTTCTAGTTCGTTACTTCAACCTTCCACAGAGTGAAACACATAATGGTAAAACTGGCTTTTCTCTGTTACATCTGCATAAAGCCTCTCCTTCACTGTCTCCATGCCAGCAAAATAAAACCTTTGGGCTCAGAAAAATGTTAACTTTTACGGAAACAAAGACTTTTATATAAACAAGTGTTTTATCAGACACCAAGAAAAGAAAATACAGAATTACCCAATGATTTCAGTCTCACTAAAGGATAACAATTCAGATTAATAAGCCTATGTATATATCACAACACTTACGATATTTATCACTTTAAACATTTCATTAATTGTTTTATCAAATCCTATTACCAACCTTTTTAGAACTCTTTTTTTTTTCTTTATCTATCTAAATATCAACTTACAGTTAATTAGATGTTTACTCTCCTTTACTTAACACGTTAGCCAGATTATCCATGCATATATTTATCTAAAAACAATGTCATTTATTTTTCCCAATCATGTAAAACTTGAAGTTTTTCCATGGAGGCTGCTGAACTGAGTGCAGGTATATATATAAATCATAAAAAAAAGTTATAGATACAGGCCTGTTGAACAGTTCCTTTCTGAACATTTGAAATCTAAAAGTTAAAAATCTTAAAACTCCAGAAAGAAAGAACTAAAATATTTGCTTGTTAATACAAGTTAAATATTTGCTTAAGATTAAAGGTCAGAGAAATGCTACTTTCTTTTTCTCCATTTGGTTGAACAGCGTACGTGTGGACCACGTACAAGGACAGAATTGCCACTAACACATGATCACCGATAAAAATATGCGAACATTGTAAAGGACCACACAGAGTTGTTAAAAGTTGGGGCCTTCACAAAGAATAGACTAGAAAGTAAGGGGATATGTCCATGGGGACAGAGACTTTTAGTGGTTTTTATTTTTCTGCTATATATATATATATTTTATGAATATATATATATATATATATATATATATATATATATACGTGTGTGTATGGATATATATACCTAATAAGGAATCAGAAACATACATATCTGTATTATAAATTGACCATTGATAGTTGTTGTCACTCGGGGAAATCACTTATGTGCATCAATGATGTAATGCTCCAACCATAAGTAAAGGAGCAAAGAGAAGGGAAAAAGAAAAATTGTGTTGGATGAGCATGCATGTCATCAGCCTCGTGGAGAATGAAATAAGAGAATGCAGAAAAAGAAAAGTAAGAAAAAAGTAGGAAAATTAAGTGAAAGGAATGGAAGAGTCTTACAGAGACTTGCGTTTTTCCATGAAGCTGACAGGGTTGGAGGTGTAGCCACAAGCAATGAACTCAAGGGTTTCTCCGAGTAAAGGCCAACCTTTGTTACCTCTTGGAACTTTCCCCTTCTTCTTCTTCTTCTTCTTCTGTTTCACCCTGTCACCGTTTTCCTTTTTGACACACAGAAACCAGTAGCAGCACCATGTAAGGACGATACCCATCAGAGTCCACAGTCCAATAATCCATTCCATGTGACACAGAATCAAACAAACCCTTGTAGGAATNATTCTATCATTATGTAAATCTCTTTGTTTTTTAACCTTCTTGATCTTGAATAACTGGATAGTAATTAGTATACGGCTTTTATTCAGTTTTTTTTATATAAAAATGGTCATATATAAAATCATTTTATCCTGTTATGACGACTTAAAGATTATCTTTGAATTGAAGATTAGAAATTGTCAAAAAAGAAGTTTTTTAACAATTATTTTGTGAATCTTTTAAAAGATCTAATTCAGATCCCATTATTTTTCAACAATTAAACTTTGATAATCTTATGAAGAAAATACATGCATTCATTACTACAATGGTTATATGCTCTCTTAGATTAGATGAAATAAGCGTCCAAGATCTGAGGTGGTCTTTCCTCCAAGACATGTATCCAAAGCCCGTTCACTACTGTAGTTAATTGTCTTCAACTCTTCAACGAAACCCTTTAACGCCCAAAACGTTATCTCTTCCAACACCACACTTTAAGTTTCTGAATTCGTATTTTTGTTATTTTTTTCCCCAGAAACCACAGGTAAAAGTCATTATTCTAGGATGATTCTTGCTTAAAAGTTTCACTGCTTTTATGTTCTATCTCTTACTTAAATGAATCAACATTTGAATTTCAAGAGTTTGCTGGAAAGCAGAATAACCACGAACAGTATCGAATACGTTGAGTCAAATCGAAGTGTGGTACAAGTAGAGGAGCTGAGTAAAGCTTGCTCATAGCACAATGTTTATGTTACACTCTCCTTACCAGAAATAAACACGTAAGAAGCAATGATGTGTCTTGTCCCAAACAGATTTCTTGGAACTCTCACTCCCATGCATTCAAGTATTTTCTACTTTGAATATATTAACATTTTAATTCATTAATACATGTTTTTAATCTATATTTAGAAAACAATTTTTTTATTCTTGAAAAAGTGACTTCATTTAGAAAAGTTTTACTTTGTTGAAAACACTCAACAAAAAGTTTTATGCATTGAGAAACACTTCTTACATTATACTAATACATCAATACTATCATAATTCATGGATTGATATAATCACGTTGAAGATGACTATTCCTTTCTTACATCTTATTTTGTAAAAAAGAAACTTATTTAAGAGAATTTGAGCGTTGGAAGTAGAAACATTGTGTTACAAGCAAGAAAATAAGAGAGACACAGAGGTTCGCTTATTATAATGCGAAGTTGTGGTAGTAAGAACCTGAGGTTGTATAGATCTAGTTGTATTTTTTGAAGCCGAGTTTGAAGGCTAACATGTGCAGTAATAGTCCAAAGTAGTTGAGCCTGTAGGCGAGTTTGAGAAACTCTAGCTTGAACTGACTCCAAGGAGGGTACCTTGGCTCGATTTCAAGGAACAGGTTTCTATGCATTACTGCCTTTTCATGGCTGAAACTGTCAAAGGAGTACTTCCCATGGTACCTTCCAAAACCACTCTGTCCAACACCTCCAAATGGTAGCGTATCACATAAAAACTGCACAAACAAAGTATTAATTACCCGATTCCTTTGCTTTATGATTTTCTTGATAAAAAGGAAAAGTAAGTTAGCAGAAAGCAGTACTTGAACCAAGGTGTCATTAAATATGACACTTCCTGAGGATGTTTCTGATATAATTTTTCTCTTGAAAGTTTCATCTTTGGTGAAAGCATAAATGGCAAGAGGTTTCGGTTTTGCATTGATAAATTCAATGCTTTCTTGAATTTTATTCAGCTGCACAGATGCCCAGTTCAAGAGTTGAATTAGACAACGACAAAATATATTCGGGAACTCAAAACATGAAATGGGATTGCCATGCTCACTGTGATTATAGGAAGCAATGGACCAAATATTTCTTCTGTCATTATCTGAGAATCTAGTGGAGGGTCTAGCAAGATTGTAGGCTCGATGAACCTAAAAAAGTTGTAAGAAACTGCTCAATTGAAAGAAAACTGATCAACAACTTCCACTTCTATTTCCCAGAAGCTGGTAGAACTTACAGGTTTTCTTCATCGATAAAACCACCGTGAACGATGGAGGCAGCAACAAGAGGTTCTTTGAGAAGATTGCGTATTCTCTGAAAGTGATGCTTGTTTACTATTCTGGAAATTACTTTTGACTCCACCGGGTTTTCACCATAAAATCTTTTGATTATCTTCTTTAATAGCTCTATCTAGAAGAAAACCAGCAGCTTTCTATCACAAGAAAAATAAAAATAAAGAAAAAGTAGCAGTTGGTGATTGTGATGAATACCAGAGAATATGATAAATGATCCTCAACAAGCAAATAGTCTATTCCTATGCAAGCTTGTCCACTGCAAGGTCCCCACTTTCCTCCTATAATTCTTTTGACTGCCAACTTGATTCCATAGTGTGCAGAGGAAAGCAAACCATATCAGATATTGAAATTGAATGAATGTGGCAAGCATGATAGCTCATACCTTAAATTCTGAAGGATTGGGAAGGGAATCAAGTATGGCAGGGCATTTTCCACCCAACTCTAGAGTAACAGGTGTTAAATTCTTTGCAGCAGCAGACATGACCATGCTTCCAACACTTGGACTTCCTGAAAATTTCATACACCAAGAAGAAACCAGTTTGTAGTTGTCTTTGTAGGATTACATTGTTATTTTGGTGTTGGATTGTTGAAAATTTCAGTACTGGTTTTACAGCAAGCTTACTTTAGAGAGAAAATTTTCTAAATACTGGGTTGGTATTGAAAACAATACCAGTGAAGAAGATTTTGTCCCATTTTTGCTGCAGTAGTTGTTCACAAACATTTGATCCACCCTCAATCACCTTGATGGCTTTAGAGTCCAAATACCGAGGAATGGTATTGGCAAGGAAAGAAGAGCAAGCTGGAGCTTGCTCTGAAGGTTTTATCAGTACAACATTTCCAGCAGATATTGCCCCAATTAATGGATCCAATGACAGCACTGCATAAATATATGTATATATTAACACTTATTTGTTAAGTTTAAAATACCATAGTATGATATGAAGCATTGCTGAACTTATAGTGTTACACAAAATTCTTACGAGTTAAAAACTTTCTTAATAGACAAAATATTATTTGTCGTTCTGTAATCTGTAATCAAAAGAAAACCATCATTTTTAGACCTTGAAAGTTTAAAATGTTCATACATTAGTTCTAAAAGAAATGAAAATTAAAAAAAAAAAGTGTTTATGTTATTATTTTAATCTTTGAATTTAACTTCTTCTCATCACTTTAATTCTTATAAAATATTTCTATTGTCAGTGATATCACATTAGTATTTGAATTTAGAACGAAATTAGAAGATGTATAGTTGAAGAATTCTCTAGCAAATATACATGTTTTATATAAGGAAAATGTTATTTGGACAACAAAAGTTTGACACAATTTTGACAACGGCGACGTGGCAGCTGTGCATTGGCTCAGTGAATTGAAAACAAACCAGAAAAAACCCAAAATACCCCTCACCCCGGTTCACTGAGCCAATGCACAGCTGCCACGTCGCCGTTGTCAAAATTGTGTCAAACTTTTGTTGTCCAAATAACATTTTCCTTTATATAAACAAATTTATATTTGATTTATAGATGTGAAATTCGACCATAATTTAGTTTCAGAAGAAAAAATTGATCTATAAATATAAGATGTGGGAGAATTGAGTCCAACTAGACCATTTAATAAAAAATTGGTTTATGAAACTTTTAATTTAATGTAAAATTAAGAATTAAATATGGTTGTAGTTTTTATACTTTCATGTAAAATTAAAATTTATCTATTTTTCAAACTAATATATTTTGATTTTAAAAGTTTATGAATAGTGTATGGGAACTGGTTCATAAATAACTCTGAAACTAAAGGTAAGGATTAAATATATTTGTTATATACATAGAGAGAGAAAAGATGGGTTTGTCAGGAATTTGTAGGACTCACTGATTGGGAAGTTCCAAGAAGAAAATATGAGCACCACACCTAAGGGTTCTGAAAATACTTGTCCTTTAGCTGGAAAGAAGAGCAAAGGAATATCACTCTGCAACGATCGATCAAAGAAAATGTTAATGGCTAATGTTCAATGAATAGATTATCAGATTAATAAAACATACTCAATCCCTTGAGAAATACAAAATATGAAGATCATATCATGTTTTTCATCATTATATTTACTTCTAGATCAGGTCTGCATAAAGATTTCAATACCTTGATGATGTCGTACAATTCTGATCATATGCAACTGTCAAACTAATCAACAGAAAGCGAAAAGTGCTCAAAGTGAAAGGGATAAATAATAAGAAAAAAAGAGAATGGGATAATCTACCTTTTTAGGAGCCATCCATTTCTCAACACAGCTCAAAGATTTGTTGACTGATTTTTCTACTCCTCCAACCTAATCAATCAATCAGTGAAGGACCCAGCAACATGTTCAAAGAGTAAAATTGAAAAAAAATAACAGAAAAATAGATCAAGTTGTAATTATTAAGATTCAGATGATTAAAATAACAGAAAAAAGTTATGGTATTTAATTAAACCTCATCACGGTAAGCCTCAACAGGGTGCTTTCCAAGATCTAGATGAAGGGCTTTGAATATAGCATCTTCGTTTTCATGAATAAGGTCTAAGATACCTGTGAGCTGGTTTTTCCTCCATGTTACACTTCTGGTTTTTTCAGTCTTGAAGTATTCCCTCAACTGTCCTACTATCTCTTCCATTTCTCTAACGATTGAGTTTTCTTCAAGTACCACCGAAATTGTGTTGAATTTATTGCTTTTTTGTTAATTTATTTTTCTCAACGCTATGGACACCAACTTTCATAGTCTATAGTTGGGTGACTTCATTAAATGCTACGTACTCTATGTTGTTGAGATACCTAACCAAGTTCTGTTTTTTTGGTAGTAATAAATCCACACTTTCAAACCGAGAGTTGATGGACGTTACAGAAAAGTTTTGGTTTACGAAAAAATTGATTATTGTTTGTACTAAGTTCATTTTCAACTTCAAAGTCGATAGATGTTGAATAAAGTTTTGGAAACAGAGGAATTC